CACAAAAAATAATTTTCTCCTGATAATTATCTCATTCAATAAAATATTGAGTATGGCCTTTCTCAGCTTCCGTATAACCCAGCTGCTCACTGTTGTTCGTTTTTATCAAACAGAAGGAATTTTTGGGGACTATTTTCAGTGGCGGATTAACCCACGTTTGGTGCTGTATCTGGGGCAGCAGGAGTGTGTGTGTGTGCGTGTGTGGGCCTGAGTCAAAACAAACAACAGCGAGTGTGTTCATGGTGATGAAAGAACATGTCACCCACTGATGTGTTTTTAATGATTTAATTTTTGGAGCTCTGAGGCTCCGAGACGCCGTCGATCAGACGAGCATCATCATCATCATCATCATCAGTGAAGTGAAGTTCACGAGAAGCTGACGTCACGTGGAGGCGACGACGAGAACATTTCCATTCCACATTTACTGTCGAGCAGACGACCGTTAACAACCTCCCCGGGGAGGCTGGGACTCCTCGCGAGCAGATATTCAGGTCGCTGTTTTCACTGATGAGGTGAATCCAGGTAAAACACGTTCCCCCTTTATTGAGTTTCTAAGCACCAATTACCACACAGCAGGAGGCGGAGACACGCCGGCGACACGAGCACAGGGGATGGAGGTGTCGAGCTTCAGGTGTGTGAAGTGTGTGTCTTATGGAGCTGTGTGTGTGTGTGTGTGTGTGTGTGTGTTCGTTCATACATGAAGTGTGAGTAATGATAATGTTGTATGGAAGGAGCCCACCACCCCTCCCTCACACACTCCTCAGCTGTGTTCTCACTGATGTGGTGTGTCACAGTGACACCTGCTGGTCATCTGGTGAACATCACCTGAGGGGACTGGGCTTTCCAAAATAAGACTTTATAACAAATTACAATATTTATATTATAATTCAACATATTGTCTGTCAACCAGAACCTTTACCTGCACATTGTTCCCTGCCGTGGGTTTTAATAATATTCAGGAAATGATGTCGAACGACATCACAGCAGGAAAAACAGGTTTAAATAATAAAATTAATTATGTCTAAATTTGTTTAATTCATACTGTCTCATGTTAGTGTTATCATTAACACATATTTTACCCAGAATGCACAAAGACAGTCTTACCTGGTAGAAAGAAGAACTCAGAACTTTGGTCAGTTCACCTGACAAACATTACAGTGTCTTCTTCAGGGAAATAAACAACCTGTATTGTTCTCAGCACCTGCAGCCAATCAGCCAATCAGAGGAGAGGAGCAGGCGTTTGTTGAAACGACTGACATCACCGCGGTTACTGATTGAAGACATCAGGAGGACTGTGTTTAAATCGCTCTGATGTGTAATCAGGTTCTGACGTGGTGACAGTTACACGTACGTCCAGACGGAGGACGTGCAGAAAGAACGCAACCAGGAAGTAATCGGTAAATCATTGGTCACATGGTGCAACTTGTCTTTTAATCAGCTGATGAAAGGTTTAATTAGTGCTCAATAAAGCACTTGTGCTAATATTTTTTGAATGGAATTATATTATGATAAATAATAATATATTATATATATATTTGTAAAAATCACCTGCAACACAGGTGAGACATGTTGTAACGTCTATTAACAATCTGATAATGTCAGTTAGAATCAGAGTCAATCACATTTTACTGCATTTCATACTTTTACTTTGATATTTAAGCTTTTTTAAGCGTTTTTCTGATTTTACTGACACGTTTATTTAAATAACATGTCGCCTGCAGAGTTTTACTTGTAATGGAGTATTTTTTTTACTCTGGTATCTGAAGACTTCATCTTTGATCAGCTGCTTCGTGTCGTTTATTTACAATTCAAATTTCTCTGTAGTGTCGGAGTGAAAGTGAAAGGAAGAGGGGGCATGAGGAGACAAAGAGGGTCTCACTGTCCGTCTGTCTGTCTCCTGATGACTCAGCTGTGGTGGTAATGAGTCCTCTGAGGCGGCTGACTGACGACAGTCTCTCTCTCCTCTGTGACAGTTTCCCACAGGAGACACAGCAGAACCAGAACAGCGTGTAACGATCTACAGAGGTGGATTATAGCTCCTCTTGAAAAAAATGTTACAACATTGAATAATGACAAAATTAAGACGAAGATAATTGGTCATTTGACTAATGTATTTGTATTCATGACACCTGTGAACGCTCTTTTTCCCTTTGGCCTCTGGTGATGTCATCTCTCATGATTTAAAAAAATAAGATCAAATGAAAAACAAAACAACTGACAGACACTCAAAGTGCCGACACATGATTCTAGAGGAAAGAATAAAAACAGAATAAACTGTAAAATTTACTGAACTTTATTGAAATGATCTGACGGCATCACAAATATAAAGACTGACTGAAAACAAACAAAATAAAAGTTTGATTGTGTTTAAGGAAACAGACAAAAGCAGAGTTCCTGAGTTACTGATACTGTTAATCAAACATATTGATCAGCCTCGTTTGTTTAATCTGCTAAACAAAAAAAAAAGAGTCTGTGTTTTTCTTGGATCACTGATCTTTAGACCTCACCGTTTCACAGAGCCAGGCTAGCTGTTTCCACCTGTTTCCAGTCTTTATGCTAAGCTAAGCTAACTGGCTGTAGCTTCACAGAAGAGATGTCTTTATGCTGAACTTTAATCACCTGAACTGTTGCTTTAAAAATAAGTTTCGACATGTTGTGTTTCTGTTTACTACAACACACACACACACACACACACACACACACACACACAAACACACACACCATTAAAAAACACAAACACTGCTGTGGTCAGCATCAATGCAAAGTACGTGTGAAAAACAGTTTGTGTCATCAGGACACTTTAATGAGTTTGTTCCTCTGAGCTTCATAAACTGAGTCTTCAGCAGCAGAAACACACACACGCACACACACACACACACACACGTACTGATCACTCAGTGTAAATTCTCTAAAGGGAAAACATGATGCTAGGATTTTGAATTTAGTGGAAGCAACTAATCTTTTCTTGTTGATTTAATGTAAATAATTTCTAATCACTAATCACCAATTGTTCTGAACCTTAACCTTAAAACCAAAACCATGAAGAAATCTTTGCAGCACAGATTTAGTGGTAATTTTCTAATTTGCAAATCAAATGTGTTTGACTTCAGTGAATCTGACCCACGTTATAGACGAATAGACACATGAACTTTATTGTGTATTTATTGTGTTCTAGCCTGTGTGTGTTCTGTGTTGTCCGTTGCTGCAGGATTAATAAAGTTAAAGTTGAAAGTTAAACACTGAGTGATGGACAGAGAGTGTGTGGCGTCTGGCTGCTTCATGGACTCCGGCTTCAGCGGAGAGGAAAACGTTCACACAGTCTAAACTCGAAGGATTAAAATCAGAGGAACAGAAACAGAGATGTCTCACTCTGCTCTGAGATCCTGGCACCACAGAGAGCAGCAGCAGAGCAGAGTGTAGAGGTTGTTCAAGAGGAAGTTAAAGAAGTTTTGTTCTGAGTCGGTGCAGCTCCTGACAGGATCATTAACAAAGTGAATAAAGTGCTTTGGAAACATCTTTCTGAAATGTTGTGTTCAAGTGTGATTTTGTTTCTGTTAAAACCTCGTTTTTTAAAGCAGGAGTCTGGTGATATTCCATATTTTTATTACTGTCAACACTGAACAGATCAAAACCAACAATGAAAGGAACCAATCAATTTATCAGATGCAGGACAAAAACCCTCAAATCCTCTCAAGGGTCCAGGTTCGGTTTCAGAGTGAAAGAATATTTTCTGCTTTTCTGTGTCTAAACATCATATTTAATTAAAGATCTTTGGGTTTCGTGACGTGTCTGGATGAGCATTTTTAGTTTCGTTGACAGTTAGCTTTCACTTTCATCTTGTTCACAACAGTTCACTATCAGCATTAAGAGCTGTTAAACTACAGCTGTGACAAACTATCATGATCGTTATCGATTTATCTGCCGATTATTTTCTTGATTAATCTTTTATTTTCTGTAAAATGTCAGAACAAAAGTGTCTCTAACAGTTACTGAAGCTGATGACTGTTATAGAAGTATAATATTTAAAAGAACACTGAATCAAATAAAACCAAGAAAAGCTCAAAGTCTCTCACAGCTCTGAAGGTAATTTAAAAGCAAAATCTGCATCAAAAATCCTCCTTCTCCTTGGGAGTTATAACTCAAATCTGAACACACACACACACATGAAACACATGTTGTTGGATTCAGAGTGACTTTAACTTCCTGAGTTTGTAATTATCTCTGATTTCCATTGTGAATAAAATGTCCAAAAAACCTGCTTAGAAATCAGAAAGAAAAAATAGCTTTTTATAGCTGCAGAACTGGAGAACTCAAGTTTCCCTCAGACTCAAACTAACCCAGTGACAGCTGTGTGAACATCAGTGTTTACGGTGTGAACAGGAGCCGCTAACAGCTGATCCAGCTGCTTCTAAAATGTAAATAAGAAATGCGACTTGACTTTTGGCAACGATCCTTGTCGTCATCAGCTTCAGTAAAAACGCTCTCAAGTTACACGAGTGTCTCATCTGAGACAAATGTACTGCAGGTTATTATTTATTTACAGCTGATTCAGATCCGGGTTTCAGGTGGTTTCTCTAGACCTCAGAAGAAGTAGGAACCAATGTGAGCTGAGATTCAGACGAGCGCGGAAAGTACTGAGAGACGGACTAACACATTGTTGGTTTGGATCTGGACATGGGAGGTGATGACAACAAAACAATACTGTCCAACACCAGCCTCATTCTTTAAATGCTGAATAAATAAAATACACAACTTTTTAATGAAGCGGGTGAAATGACACCGAGACGTGTCATGACGTCCTGATGTAAACGACAGTAAATACGTCAATCTGAAGGTGTGTTGTTCCAGATGATAACGGACAGTGGCCCCATTTACACTTGTGTCTCTTTGTGGTTGTTTTCAGTCTCTTTTTCCTTGTTTTTAGTCTCTTTGAAAACAACTACAAATAGACTGAAAACAACTACAGTCTCTTTATAGTTGTTTTCAGTCTCTGTGGTTGTTTTCAGTCTCTTTGTAGTTGTTTTAGTCTCTGTTAAATTATTTTGTGTCTCTGTTGTTACTTCTGAGGAGGTTTGAACACCTGGTTGAATCTGTTGAATTTGTCGACTCTGGAGTCACTGAGTGTAAATGGGGGATTTGTGTCCAGGAGCTGCACAGTGTGTTCAGGTGAATGAAAAAGTGTTTTGTGTGAAAGCTCGTGGATCAATAATCTACAGTGAACTGAAACGTCTTCAAACTACAGGCCTGGGCCTTTAAAAAAAGTGCACTAGGATTTTTACAGTATCAGTCAGAGTGAGGACTACAAACTGAGCAGTCCGAACTACAACGTCCAGACAGGAAACACAAACCTGCGTCTCTGCTTCCTGTCTCAGCTGATGATGAAGACTCTCGGTCCTTCCTCTCTCATAGGAGGAAGACTCTCGATCACCATGTTGTCCATCAGTCCGTATTTATCCTCTTTTTTATTCCTCTGTACCTCTTCTGCTCTTCCATTGGCTGACACCTCCTCCGCAAGCCCCTCCCTCTCCACCGGCTGAGACAGCTGATTGGTCAGCTGCTTCATCGTCATCTGCATTAAGAAAAAAATTATGTAATCTCACATCACATGTCTAAAAAACAGTGATGCACTCAGATTAATGAGGAAGGGCGGGGCCTCTACCTGCAGCTCCTTGAAGAGGTGGAGCATGGCCACGCCCACCACGATGACCACAAAGGCTCCCAGCGTCGTGACCACATCCACGGCCGACATGCCCCTCCACTCCTGGAAGAGGATGATGGAGGTGGACAGGACGACGGAGGTGAAGAGGACGTAGTAGATGGGGTAGACCAGCAGGGTGTTGAAGGTGTCCAGAGACTTGTTCAGGTAGTTCACCTGCAGGAAGACGCACGCACAGGTGAGGGAGACTTCCCTTTTATGGCAGCGGGAAAAATCTGAGCATCACAAAAACACTTCTGCATGATCAATGACATCACAGCTTACCTGTGTTACTATGGAGACGATGAGAGTGAGAAGCAGGATCCAGGTGAGAGGACTAGCAAGCACCGAGATATCATAAGAGACTAAACACAGAAACACAGACACTGTCAAACTCTTCTTCTGTAACTTTGTGATGTCACAACAAAGCAGTCACCAAGCCCCGCCCACCTGGACCCACCATCCAAACCTTGCAGGATTTGGTTTCTCCGAGTGTTTTTACCTGAAATCTGCTTTATTTTTATTGGATCACTCAGAAAACAGTCAGCCAATCAGAAGAGAGGCTCAGAGCCTCCTCTCTTCTGATTGGCTCACCGACCTGTTGTTACTAGAGCTCCAGAGAGAAGCCTGAGAGAGGAGATGTAAAACTACACTGAGATGGTTTTTATATCTTCTGATGGATCAACACTTCAAATAAAACACAGAAGAAGAAGAAAACATGGAGCTTTAATGAGGCTACCACTTTATATATTCAGTGCCTGAAATGAAAAACTGTCTCTATTAATGAAGAACCTACAGTGTTTAAAAAGAGAGTTCAAGATAAAAATACTAAACTGTTGCTGCAAGAGACTCATTGTGTGCTTTTGTTTCAGCCTCCATTTTTATTTTCTTTGTCTTTTGTTTGTGTTTGTAACAAGATCCTCAGCTTCCGTCAGTGAATGAGTGTAAATCAATGTGTTGAGTGTCTGTCACCGGTGTTGATGGCGATGGCGAGGCCCTTCACCGAGGAGACGGTGAAGGCTCCGAGCAGCGAGCAGATGCCGATGTACACGAGGATGTTGGAGCGACCGAACCGAGGAGAGAAGTACAACACGAGCACGGCACACAGCACCAACACCGCCGACACGTACACCAGGAAACCTGACACACACACACACACACACACACACACACACACACACACACACACACACACACACACAGGAAAGAGTTAACACTGAAAACAGGGCAGTCGATCAAGTTTCTCTGTGTATGTTTAACGCTCGTGTTGTAGGTGAAGAGGCGGGGTCACGTTTCAGCTCCACACTGTAACCGTGTTAATCTGGTTTCTCTTAAAGGAACAGTTCAACATTTATAGAAAATACACTGACAGAGAGATGGACGTTCAGATCAACACCACTCAGGCCAGGAGCCGGTTAGCTTAGCTTAGCATAAAGACTGGAAACAGGGGAAGCAGTTAGCATGGCTCAGTCCAGACAAAACCCATCAGAGACAATCACCCAACAACGCCCCGAACTAAAGCTGGACAACTTAAATGTGTTTAATGGCAAAAGTCCCACAAAACTTCTTTAAATTTAAAAAGTCATGAGCTGCAGCACGTTGGACCGGGGATCAGTTTCCATGGTAACCTAGCCACGCATATTTAGGGCGACTCACCAGGCTCCAGCAGCTTGTTGGTCATGTCCTGCAGTGACGTCACTTCCTGTTCCTCTGGCGCGTGGAGGACCAGCAGGATGCTACCCAGCACGCACAGCAGACAGCCGAGCTTCCCCACCACGTTCAACACCTCCCCCAACAGGTAGGAGGACAGGACTGCACTGCAACACACACACACACACACACACACACACACACACACACACACACAGTAAGTTATTATGAAAATGTGCCGACAAACTGGACCTTGAGGTGGAGTTTGAGAACTACGGCTACCTGATGAGGACACTCAGAGCGCCCAGAGGAGTCACCAGCGTCGCCGGAGCAAACATGTAGGCGACAAAGTTGCAGACCTCTCCGGCTCCCACTGCGAACATGACGTAATATTAATATTACACATCGCAAGTGGACCAATATATCATTTGCAAAACAGTACGATTATGGTGAAAATGTCATTATAATATATATATATATATATATACACACTGTGTATATATTAGGGCTGTCCCAAACGATTATTCTGTAAACGATTAATCTAGCGATTATTTTTTCGATTATTAGACTAATCTAACAATTATTTTTTTATTAACCTAACAGTAATTTTATTGCAATTATTTTCCAGTTAGTCATTTAATATAACAATTTGCCCTGTCCAACACACACACACACATACAAATGAAGATGCACTTTGCAGAGTCTGCAGACTACCGCACTGTTGGTGTCAAGATTAAAGTATTCCCAAACTCTGGAGGACCGTGTGTGAGCCTTTTTTGCCGCGTGTTGCTCCACACGCTCCGTCGTACTGCTGGTAGACGCCGCCATGTTGTTTAAATAGATTACACAGACGCAAATCATTCACGTAGTCAATGACTTCAATTACGTCACCGCGTTGTCCCAGCCCTTGCGCTGCGCTTGTATCCGGGTAAACCAAAGACGATGAATATAAACGGTCCCATTAGAAAGTTCCGGTTTTGTTCTATGAACATTTACCCTGTGTGGTTTTACACGACGCGTCGACACTAAAATTCCACGTCGAATAATTTTTATAATCGACAACGTCGATTACGTCGGATAATCGTCCCAGCCCTGATGTATACACACACACACATATAAATATAAATAATGTTTACGCTAAAACCGTTGCCCGAGTTTAAAACACGACTCAAAACATAGCTGTAAAAAGCAGCTTTTAATTTGGGATTGCAATACTTTTAACTTTGGTTTTTACTTTTGATCTTATTTTCTTTTGTCTGTTCAATTGATTTTATCATTTTAAAATACATACATCCTCTGTTATACTTGCCTATGTGTCTTATATTGCTTTGTTTTGTTTTTATGTTTGTACAGCACTTCCTAACTGCATTTTGTAAAGTGCTTTATAGATAAAGTTACTATTGTTATTATTATTATTAAAAATATAAGACATGGGTCACCAACATTTGGAAAAGGTTTGGAAACTGCTGCTTTTGAATAAAACTGATGTCATTAGAGAATATGATATTTTCTGTCAGATGAACAGTTACTACGAGCGCGGACTTTGTTAAATATGTTGTATATTTGTTTTGCTGATTTGTCACAGTGCGACCCGAAGCTCTGCAATGTGACATTTAGCGTTTTTTATTCATTTTTGTGAATGAAACTTTTCCCACAAACGCAGCAGAACAGGCTGAAAATCTGTGCAGATAAAAGAGTTGTTTTAAGGTAACACTGTAATGATTACTCACTTCATTGATTAGTCCATCATCAGATAATTTATAGGCAGCTGTTTTAAAAATCAATTAATCATTTTTATCACTTTTCAAGTAAAAATTATCGGTCGTTCTCGTACGAAGCTGTGGATCATAAAAATAACAGATTCTTACTGGTCAACAGGCCTCCCCACCACAGCCAGTCCTTCAGGTAGCCATGACCTCCATCACCTACACACACACACACACACACACACACACACACACACACACACATCATATTTTACATCACATTACCATATTATTTCATGAAGAGACAAAGTTCGAACGCGTCGTCAGGTTCAGAGATAATCACAGTGATGTCAGAGAACATGAAGTGACCCGTTGCTCAAAGTTTGTCCAAGTTGAGCAACTTTTCATTTGACCACTAGTTTCATAACAGAGTCCAAACTTCTGATTAATCTGGGACTGACTTTATTTCCTCGACTCGTAGAAAATATAAAACCATGAGTGTTTTTAACAAAGAGACAACTTCACAGCTCATCTGTTGGAGTTTCTCTAATCTGTGGATCTGCTGCTTTTCTCTGTTTTCTGTTTTCCATCAGATTAAACAAACTTTGTACAAATCAAATTTGGCTTTTATAAATAATGACGGGAATTTTCCTCATTTCTTTGTGTCTTCACCACACTCCTCCATACTCCTCTATACTCCTCCATACTCCTCCATACTCCTCCATACTCCTACATACTCCTCCATACTCCTCCATACTCCTCCATACTCCACCACACTCCTCCATACTCCTCCATACTCCTCCATACTCCTCCATACTCCACCACACTCCTCTATACTCCTCCATACTCCTCCATACTCCTCTATACTCCTCTATACTCCACCACACTCCTCCATACTCCTCCATACTCCTCCATACTCCTCTATACTCCTCCACACTCCACCACACTCCTCCATACTCCTCCATACTCCTCTATACTCCTCCATACTCCTCCACACTCCTCCATACTCCTCCATACTCCTCCATACTCCTCCATACTCCAACAGAGACACAGATATGCCACAGTTGAAATGACAGAGAGAATGGAGCCTTATAATCTGAGTCTGTGATAATAATCAGAACCATTGTTAATATTCAGGGAGGAGTGAGACCTCCTCCTCCTCCCGTGTCTCCTGAGCTCTGCTCACCTGCTCTGGTGTGCCCGGTGTCGGCCAATCGGAGGAGAGCTTTCTTCTTGAGAATGACGCTCCCACCAATCAGGAAGGCCGACAGCAGGGCCAGAGTCAGACCCAGCCACAGGTTGTAGGAGCTGTTTGCATCTGCAGACAAACAGTCCGTCAGTCAGCTGAGTGTGTGTTCATGAGGGTGTGTGTGTGTGTTTAATGACTTAATCACACCTGGAAACATCCAGAGACTTTACTGATGATAATAACAATATAGCACAAGTCCATTTAACAAGTTTACAGAATAGCAAAGACTCACAAAATTAAAACACAATAAAATAGAATACATTAAAAATAATAAATGACAAAAAAATGTTTAAAGTCAAAATCAAATAATTAAATTATTTAAAATAATTATTAAAGGTAAAATATGTAATTTAAAAGTGTCTTCAGATTGTATCATGAACACAATAACTAAAATTCAAAACAAAAATAAATTGAAACAAATACAAATAAATGAGTAAAAAATTAATTAAAATATTTTTTTTTGATCCCATTTAAAAATTATAATTAAACTTTAATTCAACAAGGAAATAAAATGATTGGTCGGCAAATCAACAATTTGTTGTTTTTTACCTTTATCAATACAAACATTTAACTTTAACTATTTGCATTTATAGAATTTTGAAGAATTTAAACATTGAATAAATCCGTGCGGTGAATGTTACATAATAATAATTATAATCTGCCCTCCAGATGTAATAATAATGAGTTCCACTGTCACATTCACGTCCCTCTTTACATAATAACTCTTTCACCCACTCCTGATGTTATCACACCGACTGCAGCCAGTGATTTCACAGTCAGACAACCTGACACCAAATATTAAATATAATCACTTTATTCAAATTAATCTGAACTGATCTAATCACTGTCTGACCATGAAAATGTGGGAAGTATCAGTCACTTCAACATTTAAAATTCAACCTGCTGCAGCAGAAACATCAGAACAAAGATCTATTCTTCTTCTTCTCTGTGACTGAGTGTTGAGGAAGTGTGGAGACACTTTCTTCCTGTTAACAAAGGGTTTTATATTTTATATATATATATATATATATATATATATAAAAACACATTAAGTGCGTTGTTGTTTTTGAAACCACATGTACCAATGTAGAAGAAACATTGCAAGTTCAGCATCAAACTTTATTCCTTTGTTCATCAACATCTGTCTCCAGAGGTTGAAACCAACCTTGTTTTGCTTCTATTTCTATCACTTTCTATTCTTATACCAAAATTAGCATGCTAACCAGTTAGCCCCGCCCCGTGTCGCCACTTTCCGATAGCGAGTCACTGTAGCGTCCAATCTGCCCTGAAGAAGCAGCGCTGCTCAGAGGATGTATTAAAACCTCTTGTCCTGTAAACCCAACAAAGACTGAAGCTCTCGGCAAGACTGGTGAGTAAACAGCTGCTAATGCTAACGTTAGCTATGTAGCGATAGCAAAACTTACAAATAGCTCCTTTAAATCATTTTGATTCACCATGAGAGTCATTGTTTGACCGTGGCGTTTCATAGTGACTATGTGTGTGTGTGTGTGTGTGTGTGTGTAGGTTTACCTGTCATGTGAGTGCTGTTGTTCAGGTGAGTCTGGAACAGTGTTTGATCTCCAGTGACCAAACACACGGCGGACTGGGAGCCACACCACAACCTCACCACGGACCCTGCAGAGACAGAGCAGCATGACCGGTCAGGTTTGATTCCCTGGGACTGTTTGAACTGTTTATTCTCATTTCCTGTTTACAGAGACAGTTTCCCAGAATCCCCCTCTGAGATGAGAAACATATAAATACATTAAATGTAAAAAACTTTCGAGTTGGCATCAAATATCTGATTTTTTTGTCCCGATTTAAACAAAAACATGTTCAGATTGTGTTTAATTAGAGAAAATAACTTGCAATCATATACCTTTGTTTCCTTTGTAGTTTACATTATTAAATAACGCTGTAATATAAATTATAGCACAAAGATTTAGTTTCAAAACTCACACTCAGCGCTGGAATTTCATTTTTCTAAATGTTTGGAAATGATTTAAAACGTCACCAGAGTGTCCTGGGTGTTTTCCCAGCTGAACATTTGATTTGTGAGACTGCTGCCGGGTTTTGAAACACTGGTTTGACCACTGTCGCTGATCGGAGCGACGAGAGGAGCGACGCAGCAGTTCAATATTTACACTGTCAACAACGGCGAGGCCTCAGTATACACAGGCTGCGATAACACTGACGCTGCAGTTTTGATAAAAAGGTAAATGTTTCTGTTTCACCTGCAACAAGATTAAATTCTTCAAAAAACAAAAATTATTGAAAAGCAAAAACATAGAGGCGAAGGTCAGAGGTCACATTACCCTCTCAAAAATCACAGTGTCTTTAATCATGACACAATTTGAATCTAAATCTGAAGAAACTCAGTTCATTTTAGTCATTTTTTAAAAAACAATTTCCTAATTATTTTAATTATTTAACCTAGAAATAATTATTAATTTGGTGGAAAAAACATTTTTCAAATTACAAATAATTACAAAAAATGTGAAATTCATCTGCAGACAAACACATAATTTATCAAATATGAATAAAGAATAAAGTTTCTAATGATGAACTAATGGATAAATATTTATTGGGTTTAAATGGAGCTTTATCTCTATTTTTTCTGTAATTAGCGCCATGTTACATTAAATTCTCTCCAGGAAACATCAAGGAAAATGATTACAAAATAAGAGTCTGTAAAACATGCTTTATTTATTTAAACTTCCATTAGTTAAATACTGATAAATCATCATTAACATCTTATTCTCTCATCTCTCACCTCTAACTGTAGACTCAAGACTTCATAAGAAAAGTACAAGTTTTGAAGGTATTTGAACTCTGACCATTAAAACAGCTTCTTCATCTAAACATGTTCTTTTCAGTGCTGTGGTCGCAGGTGAAGCTGAAACAAACGCACCCTCCAAACACCGTATAACACCATTTAACAAACAAACAAACAAACACTACACAT